CACACAGCAGTTTAAAAGGGAAGACGGTCAATTATTATTTACTCCAGGAAATAAAGGTGTTATATAAAAACTTGGATGAGAGGAGTTTACACGCTACAATTAAAAACACACATTTGGTAAATGTTAAATGGACTGCACTTATGTAGCTCACTTTTCTAGTCTTATCAACCACTCAAAGCGCATTTTCTAGTCTGATTCTAGTATTTTTTAGAATCAATACAATCAAATCTGACAACGTCATGCTGTCTTGCACAACACAACAAGTACTAAATACTGTAACACTACACTGGCTAAACACCGTACAGAGTGACACTGCAACCAACAATCCAACCCACATTTCTATCTTTCATACATTTTCATTTTCTATTTATTTTATTATTATTGTAACATTTATTTACATTATACTTTATCTTATTTTCTTACTTCTATTGGTATCTGTTTATCTTGAATTTAAGCTGCTGGAGCACTCCACTCAGTTTCCCTTCAGGATTAATAAAGCGTTATATTTTCTCTCTTATTTTAACTTTTAGTTCAACAAAATGAACATTTAAAGAATCCAGCTCATTTTTAAAGACTATGCCTGGTAGTGAGAAGGCTTTGAAACCACCGTCTGCACCCTGAGGGAATGATGACTGTACAGGTGTGCTCTGATGGAAGGCAATAAAAATACAGGTGTGGATTTTTTATTCAAACAAAAGATGGATTTTTTTTAACAGGGAAAAAACATGTCTGTCATACCTGAAATATGATGAAGTCTATCTTGCTTTCGATTAGTATTGTGGAAGAAATTCATGTCTATAACGCTTTTTTTTAGATGTATTTTTGTTTGTTTGTCAGAGTTTACAGAAACTTTAACTGAAATGATTAAATTAAATATGACAAATCTACTTACATGTTATCTGTTCTCACTAAAAGCATTAAATAAAAAAAAATAAATAAAAAAAACATCTTATAAGTTGATTTTACTGCAACATTTAGAGAAACAAAATTCAAACTCTTTGTCTAATCAGAAGTAAAAGTTGATGTTAAACTTATCAGGAAGTCAAACCAGTGTTAGGCTTTGTTTGATGAAAACAAAGCCTGGTATTACTTTGTTGGCAAATACATGCATGATGGATTTCCCCAAATAAATCTTGTTATGCAAAAATACGCTTCTCACTTCTCGTTTAAAGTCACTGACCAAACGATTGAGACTGACACAATATTTTGGATAAAACTCCCCATCTAATTTTCAAGAGCATATGTTATGAATTAAACCGTAAACTGTGTGTGTAACAACATAATGAAGACTGATTTCTTACTTCCATTGTTTTTCCACATCTCCCTGGCGCACTTGTCAGAGGAGGTCAGCTCTGATATCTGGATGTTTGGATTTGATTTGGAGTCATCTGGAGGAAACGGTGAAAAAAAGAGTGATGGTTACTCAATGGCTGAACAGCAAATCTACAGAGACAACATTGGTCGCTGTGTACAATGTTTCCACACAGCAATGGTGCCGCTGTGTGCACATCGATGGAGGAAGAGCTTAAAACGACCTGAGAATCATTATAGACAGGGTTATTCATGTGTGTGTTAATCTCCTGAGAGCATTTGACACTTGAATGGCTCTGGAAGCCCTGGAGCTGTAGTAGTAAATGTCAAAGAACAAAATATTACTTACACTCTTTATATTGAACACAAATAGATAATATGATAATATAATGAGCCAGTCTTTCAGACTCATCTGAACATACAATATAATTAGACTAATAATTCAAGTGCACAGGACAAAGTTACACCAGTTCAGTCTAAGTCTGTACCTCCATATGATGAGGATATACACAAAACCATTTTGATTTGTTTTTGCCGGAAAAATAAAAATGTGTAATGGCAACATTTTTAAGCAAAGGGCTCAGAATCTCGTTAATGTCTGAGTGACTCCGAAGTGGTGACTGCGTTTGCACAACATTTATGCAATCAAAACAAACCATTTTGCTTCATCAATTCTCAAGTTATGAGAATTACATATCAGATAAATAAAATGTCAGGAGAGACAGGTACAGTAGGTTTATCTCGCTGCCGTATGCGCCTCTCCCAAGTGAATTGGCCACAAACAACCAACAATACGTTGGTCTGCTAAACGCTGCCACTGTGCATGTGCATGCATGTGTGTGTGTGTGTGTGTGGGTGTGTGTCGCTTAACACTAGCTTCAGTCAACTGTGCACAGTGTTTAAAGGGCAAGTTTGTGGTTGTTATGTTTCATTGTGAATATAAATGAACCATATGAAATTTCAACAGAGGGTCTCAGAATTTGCTGAAGGGGAAACACCGACTTACTATTGTTGCTGAATGAGAAGGAATCGCTCTCCCTCATTGTCTCATTCCCGCTGTCCGACAGCGTTCTCTCGATCCTGGAGACGGGCGGCCTCCTCTTCGTGCTCTTCCGGGTGCTGATGCGGATGATGCCGCGCACCAGCCGACACTCGGCTTCCTGCTCGTCCATTTTGTGCTCCTCTGCCAGCGAATTGATGAGCTGATTGATGGCCTTGCTCTTCTTCAGAAACACAGAGTCAGAGGTGCACCTGGCCAACTCTTCGATCTGATATTCAGAGTAGAGCTCCATCAGCTTCTTAGTAATCAGAGAGTCCACATCCTCCTCGCCATCCTCCCAGTCATAAAACCTCATAGACTCATGCAGGGAATGATTGCTGGGCAGTGTTTGACCACCAGCTGGAGGAACATATGGTGTGCAGTTAGTTTCGACATCTAAGTACTCCCTTGGACTGTCCACTCTGACTCCAGCGATGCGGACATCCCCTAGCCAGTCTGTGCTATCCTCCTCTTTGTTGTCTCCTGGTTTCACACTGTGGAGGCTCACCTCCTCAGGCTTATCTGGGGAGCTCTCGTTTGGCGCCAGGCATGGAGCAAGAATGGAACGCCGGCAGACCCGGTACAGGCCGCAGGTCAGCACGCTGCACATAAAGGTCCTACAGGTCCTTGGAGAAGTGCAGGGGTTGCAGGTTTGTGCTGTAGAGGGAGGGTCGGCCGAACCAGGAATGAAGCCAATGGTCTCCGACTCCTTCCCGTTTGCATCTTTCAGGTGGGCTTTGTGGACGGTCTTTGGCTCTGGTAGCCTGTACTCCACTGGGTCCACACAGCGCTCCTCATACGACGACCTCTGGCTGCTGCTCCGGCTCAGTCCATGCCTGTAGCTCCCAGGCCCCGAGCTGTGTCTCAGGCTGCCAGTGCTGCCGGCAGACATGACTGACTGGCTCCAAGGTCTGCACAAGCAAGAGAAAATAATAGTTCAGGTGCGTTGAAATGGCATCACGAAACAACTGTCATCGAAGATTGTTATCGTCCCAATCTATTAGACAAAATCTAAAATCACTTGTAGCCACCTGAGGGCATCTCTCTTCAAAACCAATGTGAAACTACTATCCCCAGGTGGCAGGTAAAGTAGCCCGACTGGTTCTATTGAGGATGTGTAAACACACCGTTAAAGACAATTAACTATTATCAAATTCACTGCATAGAGCCACGGGGATTTCTAAGATTGAACTTGAAGTGAGTCATTGTAAAATGCAGTGATTGTTACAAGAACCATATCCTGTGTTTACACTCAAGGCACAGCCAACTTTATCTAAAAAAAATCTTGGAATTGAATGTCCCTTTAACAACTTTAAACCAAACAACAGGTAATAAAATACCATCATTTAAAACCCTATCATCATAAAAAGCAGTCAATTAGCTAAACTAGAACTCTTTGAAAAACGGTGATTTTTGGCCACAAACAAAGCAAACCTGTGTAAAACCGTCAGTTTTTATTAAAGTAAGAAACAGTTATTGTTGGTTGCGAGGTGGCCGAATTGAAGCAAATGACTGATCAACTGTTGATCAAATCTTAAACTAATTTCGATAGCATTTTATCGGCGTATTAATCCACTGAAAACACGACGAGTTTTAAATTGAGAGATTCTCCGTGTCATGACGGACGGTTTGCGAGGACTGTTTACAGTAGTCATACAGTGTAGTTAGCTAATAAACAAACAAATTAAGTTAAAATATTATTTTACAATTTTTTTCCCCCACATTTTACCACTAACACGGATTACACGTCGACGCTTGACCGACCGTTGGAAATTCCCTTTCGTGTATAAAAATGATTTTCACTTTCATGGCGACCTGTCATTGCTGGTCTTTCCTCCATTAGAGGACTAACGAATATCTCAGTAAACATTACTCACAGTATACACGGTGCGTCCACCAACTGACTCCCGAATTAATGTTGTCTTCTCCGCCTTACATTAAACATTTCTGTTTTTAATACATTTTCAAGCGTCCCATTTATCAAGTCCGCTTTCAAAACTCCAGGTTCACTAAAGTTTTCGACCAAATCCGCGTACCTGAGCGTCAAGGTGGAGGAAGCACACCAGGTAGCGACAACTAGGCTGGACTTCCGGTTGTGACTTCAAAAATAAAACACGAGATAAATTGCCACTGTGATTTTGGCTTAGAATTGTGTGTTTTACGGATTTTCCGTGATAATAACACACCGTGAACTTATTTAAATCACGTAGCAAGTAGACAGGAAGGCCACCATCAAATACAACATTTCCATAACATAAACCACCAAAACCAGTCATACAATTCTTACAGTTTTATTTTGAAATTTCCGGCCATATTGTTGGCAACTCCTCACTTGATGACTCTGCGTCAAGTCAGCCACAGCAAGGCATTGATTTACCGGATATTGTACAATTTGGCTTCTGTACATTTGTGAATTTGTCTACAAATGATATTTATGTAGAAAAATATAGTAATGAAAGTGTGTAAAGTATTCCGATACATTATGCAGCCATTTTTATGAGAGTCATCGCTATGACTAAAATGTAACGTTTTAGTAGATCGTTTATTTTGAAAGAAAATCAACCGGAAATGCATCCTTCCTTTGAGTCAATTTTGACAAAAGCCAAAATTCCCGGACGACGCGTTTTTTTTTATGGAAAGGCAGCTAACCAGTACTAGTCACGAATGTGTCAGGACTAGTGATAGGAGAGCAATATGCATCATAAATTACAAAGTTTTAGTTCTCCATTTCATTTGTGCATATTGGACAAACTGGATATTAGCAAATACGTTTAGCTAAAATGTGCAAGACAAATAAGCTAACAAGCTAGCAGTGGTAACGGTATTTTGGGTTTACTGATGTTAAATAGTCCGCCGCTGGCAGAGCTGGTTAGTCTGTATGGCACGGCTACTAAGCTAACGATGGGTAGTGGGTTATTGCTTGAATTTTATCCAGAATATTTCTAGGAACACGCTCCAAGATGAATAAATGAAGAGGCATGGAAAGTAACGGGCGTGTAATTTCGAGCTCGGGGTCTTTGGGTTATTTACAACTGGATACCCACAGTGAAGGATTAGCTTGTATTCACCGTGGACTGACGACGTTTGCTCCGGTCAGCCGCCTCAGAGCACACGGGTGTCGGTGATGCTGTGTATCGCTGGCCAAATGCCCCGATTTTCTGAATTGGGACAGAGCAACGAAACTTCATTATAAATCATGAAAAACTGCGAGTATCAGCAGATCGACCCGCAGGCACTTCCGACACCCACCCCGACCCCTCCGCCTCACCATGGAAGCGAGGGTGACAAGAAAGAGGAGCCGAGAAGACCGAGGAGAAAGTGGGAAGTTTTCCCCGGGAAGAATCGCTTCTTCTGCGAGGGACGGATCATCGTGGCCCGGCAGAGCGGGGTCCTGCCCCTCACCTTGGGCCTCATCCTCGTCACAAGTGGATTGTTCTTTATATTTGAGTGAGTTAATGCTTCATGATTCAGACATAACACCAGCTTTGTCCAGTCGTTGTCCATATGAAATATCCAGACATTTGAATACGTCTCACCTTCCAGATTATTGCAGCGAGAAGCGCTAAATCAGATCAATAAATTAACATGTAACTGAGTTAAAATTAATCTGGTGTATTAGATCTACACCGAACTGTAGAGCAGGTCCTAACGATTCTTAATAAAATCCTTATTCATGTTAAACAATAGTAATTTCTTGACCAAGCCCCAATTCAACTTTAAATATCTAAATACATAATGCAGTCTTGCGAATCTTTCCAAAAAAAAAGTACATATCAGAGCATTAATGTGACATAATATGTACTGTTATAATAGGAAATAACAGGAATACTGCTTGATTATGAATAGTGCTTTTTCTTTATCAGTGTAGAGAAAGTGTGTTCTGTCTCCAGGGATCAAGATGGTGATTAAAAGCACAGAATATTAATTAAAGCTAGATTCCTTGGTGGGAGGAAAAGGAGGCTAAGTTATATGAGACAGGACTTTGCTTTGATGGTTTCCAATCCTTTTGATATGGTCAGTGTGTCTTGGTAATTCGTCCTCTCCCTTGTCTGTGGCTGCCCCGATATCACAGCTGTCCCTTCCTGGTCAAACACCTGACCAGCTGCATACCCGTTATTGGAGGAGTCCTCTTTGTGTTTGTGGTCATCACCCTGCTCCAGACCAGCTTCACTGACCCCGGTATCCTGCCCAGAGCGACGCCAGACGAGGCTGCAGACATTGAGAAACAGATTGGTGAGGGCCAACTCGGGCACAAACTGAACTATATGGATGTTTTAAATGCTTCTGACATCATAAAATTTTACAGTTTTTAAAGGGCTGACTGTTTTTCCCCAGAGTGTCATTCCTGCCAGTTGAATTTAGACCACCACTGGCACCAGAGCTTTCTATGAGGCCTTAATATTTCCTTAAGGGAACTTGATCCCTAAATGCAAACTGCTTAAGCTCGGCTCACTTTCTTTATAAGTTACCCTCTGCTCAGTAGCATTCGATTATGTCAAACTTCAAGGACGTGCTATTTTCAGCGCTGTCATAAGAGCTTTCGCTTAGTTTATTTTGCTTCAGAGCACAATTCGCAGTTGAGATTGAGGGCATTGTTCTGCTAGCGTCGGCTGTTTTACTCTGAAATCGAAACATCAGGCAAATTCTAATGGGGCAGTCACCGCTCGTGCTGGTGCCAATTTAGTTTTAATGATGATGAAACCTTTGACACAGATGGAGAAATTTGGAAAAGACTAATTTGTTCGTGACTCAGTGTAATGGATGTTACACTGGCAGCCATTGGGGTAATTTTTCTGACGGAAAGGTTTCCTCTTGACTTCTTAAGCTCCTCGATTCGGTCTGAACTATTTCAGGACTGAGAGAGGTGTCGTCCCTCCTGACGAGGTTCTGCACAGATTCTTTTACCGCAATCTGTCCTGCCTTTTCACCACAGGCCTGTTTACAGCGCTCCGTCGGTTGTGTTCACCGTCAGTTTCAAGTCTTGCCAACATTACCTTCCCTTTCCATATGGCATGCTTCAGTATAATGACCTTTGTGTTTAAAGCTGGCTTCATGTGCACCTTGCAAACTCCTACTCGTGACCAAAGTTTAGGCAGTGGTGATGTAAGACGTTCATATTACCCAACTGTTCTGCTGTTGTTCCGGCTATTTTTGAAACAGAGACTCTTGACGTACACTTACCACTATTTCTTTAAGGAGATGTATTAAGACACTTTGTCTGACTCTGTTTTCTCTGTACAGGTGTCTTAGGTTGGATTTGATCACTGATAGTGCTGAACAATCAATACAAATATTGTCATAATCACAATATCCAAATCACAGGAGCTGCAATTTATAAAGATAAGATGTACCACAGTGTCCCTGTTTAATTCGAATTCTAAGGTTTAAGTACATTGTGTGTTCACACTGGGAAAGCAACACTTAAGAAAGTGTTTATAATGTTCAGTTTTTTTCCACACTCTCATAGAGGTGTTAAATGAATTATATATTTATGTATTGAGGTCGTAGTCGTAGTGGTGGTGTTGTACTGGACTGCATTATATTCACAGGTGTTTCTTAATAATTAGCTCCCCTCCCATGTATATCAATGGGAAGCAGGAAAAAATAGAAACACCAAAATACAATATAATATAATATAATATAATGTACACATTTCCAATGGCACTAAAAGACAGATGTTATGGCAGGGCTGTTGTGTTGTATTTGTGTCTGAGCTCTCTGAAAGCACGTGGAGAAGATTATAAAACGTGTTAAAGACCCTTGAAAGCTACACTGGAGTTTTCATTTACTCCTGTTCCTACGTTCCTGACGTCGCGTGGAGCTAGATTGGGAATTATGTAACGTCACCGCACGCTGCACTAGTAAGAGTGTATGAAGGTGAATGTTGTCGTTCGCTGTCGTTCTGGTCAGACTGGATTTTGCCAGGAAAAATTTACTCGCATACTGTAGTGAAAGGTGGGAAATTTGCTGAAAAAGCTAGCGTGACTAGCCTGATAATAACAGCCCTCTACAAGTTAAAAAAAATATACGACTATTGCTTGTAAATACTGTCTTTGAACTCAACCAGGCAGCGTTCCTCCTCGTATTATTTCAACATATTTCCTAGACTCAGTATAAATGGCAAGCGTGTAGGTGCTAATTGTGATAAGCCATTCCATTAGCTCTTATGATCAATTCAACTGATCAGTAAATCAGATTAATTTAATCCCTGTGTGTGTGTGTGTGTGTGTGTGTGTGTGTTTTCCGTCCCCTCCTCTGCAGACAACACTGGAAACACGAGCTATCGGCCTCCGCCGCGCACCAAGGAGGTCCTGATCAACCAGCAGGTGGTCAAGCTCAAGTACTGCTTCACCTGCAAGATGTTCCGGCCTCCACGCACCTCCCACTGCAGCCTGTGTGACAACTGTGTGGGTGAGCTGCGGACACACACCAGCACCATGACATTTGCCGACAATAAATAATAGATAAAGGCTTCACGGGGGGGGGGCTGCAGTGAGCGCCATTCCTTTACTCCAGTTCAGGACCGACTTGAATGACGTGTCGAAACCATTCCTCTAAATTAAAATGTCACGGTGCTCGTCTCTTTCAGAGCGGTTCGACCATCACTGCCCCTGGGTGGGGAACTGCGTAGGGAAACGCAACTACCGCTTCTTCTACACCTTCATCGTGTCGCTCTCCTTCCTGACGGCCTTTATCTTCGGCTGCGTGACCACACATCTGGCGCTGAGTGAGTGTTAATGCTCCGGTCCGCAGGCGTTTTTCGGGGGTTTTGTCAGGATCTTACTGATAGTAGCTTCTAACACACCCGCCTCAAACAGCACCTGCCAGAAACTGTTAGTGTTTGTTTCCACCAGACGGGTGAGGTTGATGACATCAGAGCAATTCAGGCATCTGATAAGAACAATAAACAGTGTACAGAGTATTTACCGGGTCCTGTTTGGCCACTTGCCAAAGCGTTCTCCAAAAGTCCCGCTCACGGAAGGGTCAGAATAAAATGAACTAATTTGAGCTTCATACCAGAGTATTACTGGAAAGGAAAATCTAATTTACACACATTCTCACCTTCTAATAGATTCAGAAAGACACTTGGAGCCGAGCGTCACTGTTATTCTTTCCTCTCTTTCAGGGGCTCAAGGTGGAAAAGGCCTGGTGTTTGCTCTGCAAGAGAGTCCAGGCAGATATCCTTTACTCCTTTTTTTAAAAATGTGTTTTTAAGATTTCCTGAGGAAACGAACACTGTCAGTGAGTAGGTTTTTATTTATTCTCCTTAACGCAAAACCTTTCACTGCAGTGGAGCTGGTGATATGTTTCTTCTCAGTCTGGTCCATCTTGGGCCTCTCAGGCTTCCATACATACTTAGTCGCTTCCAACCTGACCACTAATGAAGACGTGAGTAAAGCATTGGGTTTGGAAAGTGTTTGCACCCTCGCTTGTTTTGGTGTCTTGTGTTACAGAAATAGGTCGAGAGCATTTATTGGTGAAATTCAAAGGAAAACACTTTTGAATCAGATTTGAGCTAAGTTTTAAGAAATGCAGGGAAAAGTTGAAATAATAATTTAAAATATAAAACATAAAGCTCCCACACAGTTTTAATTGTAAGATTATATTTCATTCAGTAATGCATCATTGCAAAAAAAATAAAATAAATAAATAAATAAATAAAAGAAATAACAACCACAAATATAAACCCAGTGTTTATATGCTTTGCTTCCAGATTAAAGGCTCCTGGTCGGGGAAGAGCGGAGAAGATGTCACAAACCCGTACAGTCACAGAAACATCTTCATCAACTGTTGCTCTGTGCTCTGTGGACCCATGCCACCGAGGTCAGATACAGACTCTATTTGTCTAGATAATTTACTATCAGTTCATCCTTTGACTATTATTATGACTAAAATATTTATTGTTTTTTTGAAAATGCACATTAGATATTCAAATATAAGAGTTTCTTTAAGCATTTTAAACTTCAGAGCACTCGTTAAACGCAGACACAGCTGTATGGTAGTGAATGAAAATGCCTCGACTGTGGGTTTATCAGACATTCAGTCGCTATCTCTTGTTAATGCGGGTGCTCCGTATCGTCTGAGACTCTAAATATAACTAATTCATAACTGGACTGGGCTCAAATGAAAGTCTAAACTGATTTCCATGGTCTCACAGTTTTATATTCCGTCAGCGTCGCCGCCCCGGCATCACAGTTTACCGCAATAACGTCTCTATAAATGTTGAGGTGTGGCCCACAGTAAGGTACATCATCAGAGACACTTTTGATCCATTGATCATTTGTTTTATCTTTTTAAATTGTAAATTCACCACAGCTTCAACTAAACTTTTCTTATTGCTTGTTTGTTTCAGACCAGCAGTTGAAAACCCCAATATGTTGCCTTATTTTGAAAGGTTCATGTTTCTAAGTTGCATGCACTGGTCTATGGCATGTCCTTTTTAGAGTCTGTTTTTGTGGCTGTACAGTTTGCAAGTGTCCATTACTAAGGGAAAATGAGATGTGGAGACTAAAACAGGATGTACTTTTTCTTGTTTCTGTCCTTTTCTCAGCTTGATAGACAGACGAGGTTTCCTGCCCGCGGACGAATCTGCCCAGACAGGCAGCACAGACATCGAGGTGCCAGCTCTGGCCACTAAAAGCGAGATAAATGTGGTAGGCGGATCTTCCCAGCTGGCTTTTGGCTTGCAGGAACCCCTCTCTCCTGTGCCTGCACCCCCCCCGCCAACTCCCACCAAAACTCTTCCTCTGCCTGACAGAAGCCTTGTTGCCTGCTGTAGCCCCAACCTCGGCACCTCTCTGCTGCCTGTTGTTGACTGCGGTGTATGGGTTAATCCCTCCACATTCTGTATTTACACTACAGACAGAGGTTTACATATCAACATTTATTACCTCTTTCAGTGGAAACGAGACTTACATTTATCTCTGAAATACGTTGACGACGTCGTGTGCTAATATAATTTTATGAGTCTTATCAGTTGAAGCAAAGCTCCCTGATTGCAGGTTAAAGAAACAGACATGAGAGCGGTATCGATCTTCCCGTCTCACTCGGGGGTGGGGGGAAGCAAACAGGCCTATTTTACAGAAACTATTTTCTTAAATGAAGATTTATTAAGGTTTGATTTCCTGTTGGTCTTTAAAAACTTGCTGCAGGCAGTTAATGCGAACAGCTCAGTCATGTTTATCTAATGAACAAATCAGGTTATCTCCTGTGTTTCTTTTGAAGGAAGCACCACATATTGCATTCACTTGTATTTTTTTTTTTTTAATGTTACCTAGTATTTAGTTCATGTGCAGTATGTTGACTCAGGGTGTTTTATGAGCTGCTCCCTCCTTGTTCTCCCTGACAAAGGGAGTTTAAAGGGATGCCTGAAGAGTTGTTTACAAGACTGTGGTTCAGATCGAGTTGCAGCGTGAGCCACAATGCTCTCATATCAAGTAGTAGAGTAGCTGCAGTTTGGCCTTTAGGAAGATGGATGGCTCTTTTCTTTTTTTTTGTTTACACCAAAATATTTATTCCTGTGTAGGGATTAAGCTGAAAGCCAGTTGAAGCTGTAGTGTTTCTAGTCTTAAATTAATTTTGTTATTGAGACGGGTGTTGGTGAGCGTGTAGAAATAGTCCTTTGACCCTGAGAAGCTGTGAGGGAAGCCTTGTTTTTATTCCGTGTTGGTTCCTTTTCTCCTGTCTTATGTTTACAGTCATGTTTCAAAGGTTAAAGTGCCAAATGATCAATCCATCATTTCCCACTTATTTTTTTTCCCCACATGCCTTTTTATTCCTTGTTTTTTGAGTTGTTGTTTTCCATCCTGTTTTTATACATATTTCTATTTTTTTTTTAATCATGTATCACAATTTAAAAAGTAAAAATAAAATAAAACATGCATATTTGTCCTTGCAGGTCATCATCTGTGTGTGTGCTCATCTTTCATTGTTTTGTTTGTCCACCCTCATAATTTACATATCAGAGTATGATTGTGTTTTCCAAGGGAACAAAGTGTCACAGTATCAGTGCGTTCACTGTGTCCATTCATCCAGTCCTAACTTCCTGTTCTGTATGTGGTCTGTCTCTGTGCCTGTCCTACCACCAACACTAGGAGGAGAAATGTCTGGACTTTGCTGTGTCCTGTACTGGCTGATTAGCCACATTTAGAGCACAGAAAAGCAAGGCTTGAGCTTGGTAAGCCTGTTTTAGAGAAAGGGAAAGCGAGTGCAGAGTCTCCCACCGCTGCATGTCCTCTTGGCCGGCTTCTCTACCTATGCATTGCTTTATGTGGAATACATTGCAGAGTGCATAATTTAATTTTAAGAGTGTACTGTGTGTAGTAGTGGCTCCAATAATTCCACGATACTGTGTCAGTATTGGCTTGAAAATTGACCATTTTCATGCCACAGATCTGCCAAAATTTGATTTTTACTCCTGTTAATATATATTAAAAAAATTACATATATGAAAAGGCCCCTGCAAATAAAACTTAGATATCTGACAAGACTTTTCTGTAGATGAGCCGTTTAATTATTGATAATCGATAAAACACTGGAATTAACTGAGAGAAATTTAACCTCTATGTTTAGGGATTGATGGTACGAAGGGACACATTGGAAACCATCGTTGAAGTGTCTCCATGTGCTGACAGCAAGCTTGACTGAGCTGGAATTAAATCCTCTTTGACCTCTGAACTGAGGCGATGCACAGCTTTTCACACAGTGAATAGTAAATTGCCACTTTTCTAACCCCGATTAACATTTAAATTAACACGTAGTTAAACTTGAATACATAAAATGGGCTCCCAAGGCTGTATGATCTTGAAGTTCATCAGGGCTGAAGTCGTTTTAAATTTTTAATTCTGGTGAAAAGCTGCACTAATCAGTGGCATGATGCTAGCATGTTATCATGTTGACATCAGCTTGAGGTTAAATGAGCAATTTGTAAGTTTTGCTATTGCTACATAGCCAGCGTTAGCATTAACAGCTGTTTATTTAACATTGTGAGTTCAGCATCAAACTTAAGTCCTTTTCTCACCGAGAGCTGTCTCCAGCAGTGGAAAGAAACCCTTTTGTTTTCCATTCCTTTTCTTCTACTGAAGTTAGCATGCTAACCGCCTAGCTCCAGTCTAGTCGGCCCGTCTCGTCACTTTTCCCGATACCCAGTCACCGTAACGTCCAGTCTGCCTTGAAGAACTAGTGCAGCTCAGAGGCTATTTTACCCTTTTGCGTTGAAAATATATTAATGACTGAAGCTCTTAGCAAAACTGGTAAGCAAACAGCCGTTAATGCTAACGTTGGCTAGGTAGCAATAGCAAAACTTACAAACAGCTTCTTTGCAGGCTTTGCTTTGCAGAGTTGCTAGCGTAGCTTTTGCTCTTGTTAACAGAAAGCTTTCATTACAAACTGGTGGTAGAGAGTTTGAAAGACATGGTCATTTATTAGGCAGGTACAACATACGCAGCTGAATTGCATCATGGGAAGTGTAGGATCCAGTGTTTTTAGAGATCAATACATAGTGACTGAAAGTCAGGCTATGTCGGCATCTGCTTCTTCAACTTTAAAATTTCTGGGGTGCTCTTTCTTTTTTTCTTTTTAAATATAATTTCGTACTGAGTTCTTCCAGACAAAGCTCTTAGATCTTCATTGGGCTAAAAACCTATCAAATATGATCCCAGAGGTCTAATGAATATGCAAATCTGTGGCATGAAACATTCGGGAACTGCTGCTTCAGATCGCTCAAGCGGCCTGCGCACACTTCCAGCTTGCCTTTTATTCATCTTGCACAGCTGTTACTGAATTAACTGAAGTGATTTAACACCCTGCTGTTCATCCTGTTAACTTCACTGGCTCGTCTCATCAGTGTTTGTCTTTTCTTTTTCTTTTTTCTTCTTTCTTTTTTGTCTGCTCTCCTCTGTCTCGCGCCTCCCCAGTGCACACAGGGAACTAAAGGTCTGCTGGAGTCAGCCACTCTCCCTCCGCTCCTGTCCACCTCGTGCCCTCAGGGGAAACCTCAGACAGCTCATACCTGCCCGGACAGCAGCCCTGCGGTGAACTCTGACCCCTCACCGGAGCTTTCCGTGAGCTGCGGGGCCCGCCACGCCGCCAGCTCCCCGGGCGACGCCTCTCCATCACGTCACAGCAAGGCCCGCTCGAAGAAGAGTAAACGAGCGGCTTTACATATTCCCAACCCCGCCTTCGACATCCCCGTTTCCCCTACCTCTCCGGACGCTGCCAGCTTCGCCCCTTTGCACTGACCGACCTTAAATAACGACTTTCTCAAGTGAAAACACACATTGTTTGAAGCTTGCATGCTGTAAAACAGTGAGATACAAGTATGATTTCAATTTTTCCCCCCCCCCTCTTACTCTTTGTTGGCTCTCTGAAAGTCCCAGGTATCGTCACTGAGTAAAGGGATGACAATCACAAAGAGATGTTATTTTGTGAGATCAACCTACAGGAAATAGGAGAAGGATGAAGATTACTCTGACGGTAAAGGGGTTGGGGCTTTGGTACAGAATGGAAAGCACATAAAATGATGAAATGTTAAAGACGGAGGCACTAGCATACTGATAGAGCCATATGTCTTTCAAATGATTCTCATGTGAAACATGAATTTTACCAGCATGTCAGATCCACTAGGTTTTGTGAAACAGTGGCTTTGATGTAACAGGGAGCTTGAAAAGCTTTGTGCGGAGGGTTGACGCTCAGAATCTGTAAGTATCTGTAAAGAGAAAAGTTGCGGTTAAAGGGAAAGTCCATCCCAAATACAGAATTCACAAATGTCATTTCCATAGTACTGTGCGGCTCGGTTTATAGCGTGAATCTGAGCCAGTTTCTCCTTAAGTTGAATAGCAGAGCGACAGTTTGTGCTGATGATGTCATGTTGAGATATATAGGCGGTGAATAATGGAACAAGTCATGGGGATTTAGAAAGCGGCCATGTGGCATTTCCGAGGAGCGGCGGCGTCTATTTTCATATCGAACGCTCTGTGTTCAAAATCAAACTCACTGTTTTAGTGAAAACACTTTCAATACTCCTCGTCATAGAAACTCTGCCAGAGGGATGAACGACATTCTTCCAGAAGACGTTCCCTTGTTTGGTGTTTTGATGAAAATATTGTCGAACATCATCAAAACCGACAAATCCGACAAGCACTTGATGCAGTGATTGCGTCCCTACCTCATTTTAAACTGTTAATTTTATTTCACCCGTCTCTATAACAACAGGGTGTTACCCACACCTTTGACCTTTGACTTCAGACGGGTTCAGACGCAACTTTGTGTCTTACATTTTTACCTAATCTTGAGCGCCTAATGTCTTTATCATTTCAGTTTTCATCAAGAGCCGAGATACAGCACTTTGTTGCTATGCCAACATAGTTCCTGGGAAATGAAATGAAATCAAATTACTATAAACTAATTGAAACAGAGAAACCATGAGCCAGGCAGTAGTTCAGTGACAGAGTACTTGAAGTGCATTTAAAAAACAGACTGAGGGGGCATCAGCTAACTGTGGAGTACTGTGCTCCAAAATCTCAAATAGGTGTTGAACTGTCTTGAGTTTATGAGTCACATAATTTTCAAATGGTGTGAATTTTGTTTTTGTGTGGATTTCTCCTTTAACTTCACACAAACAACACAGTGGGTTCAGTGTGTATCAGTGGTATTGGTGTGTACCGTCGTTCAGATTTCCGTGCTGTAAAAATGGCAGTGAATGCAACTGCATGATAACGACTACAGACGTATATTATGGTATTTTTTAAAAATTTTTTTGGTTTTGTTTATTTAAATCCATTCAAACGTCACATCACACTCCTCAGAGGACCTCCACCGCCTTTTTTGTTTTTGTTTTTTCTCGGAGGAGAGCCGTGTTTTGGACTCATGACCATAGTTGTGTAGCTGAAGCAGCGTTACTCATTCCTGCTTGTGTTGATCATTAATGTCACACAGTAAAAAGATTTTATGCTCCGTTTCAAATGTCCGCTTCCTGCTCGCACTTTGTCTCAGCAACAGCAATACCTGTCCTCTCCTCCTTAAGAAAATGTTTTACTTTGTGCGCTTTGACAAATCTAAACAATGTATGTGAATGGTGGACGTGTTGATTTGTTCTCAGGTGGAAAGCTGTAGGGATTAGGTATTCAATATGCAAGTTCTATGTGACATATATCATGTTAATCCACATTGTAACCTGATGGCAATAGCTGCACAAAAATGCAACGACCGGCTCATCCCCAGGCACTATGTCATAGGCATGCACACACACACACGCACACACACACGCACACACACACGCACACACACTCACACACTGTTTGTCTGTAGCTCACCTAAAGAGTGTTAACACTGAGTAGAGAAGCATCACTTCATGTGGAGTATTCAGTGTGTCATCAGCAGTCATCCCAGCATCCTCTGGATTGTCAGTGAGAGTGAATGCAAAGCAATGCATTCGTGAGGAGAAACACTTGTACTGTATTTGTACAAACTGTGTGGTTATTTAAGCCAATGCTACTGTCGAAAATAAAGAAAAAAGGAGAACAAACCACCCTGAAGTGAGTGTTTTTATTCCTCCGAAATGCTACGATCGACCACTAGGTGGCAGCGATGGCCTGTACACATGCAGCTGCAGTCAGATAATACATTCACAGTCAAACCAGTGCACTAAACACTCCAGACACCTACTGAGTTTCAGGCTTTTTATTTTTTTTTATTTGTTTTTATCACCATCCTCATCTCTTGTTACCTAATTACTTTGCTTTTCTTTGTCTTCCGCTCCTCATTTGTAAACACGACACTTGAAATGAGAGAATTTAGTATGATGTCTCTCTCTGGATTGGTTAGTTGAAAATTAAATGAAAATGCTGTAAACATTTTTTACTCTGTCGCTCATGTAGGGAAACAATGCAAAGCCAAGCTGTGCTCAGGTGCTTTTAAGGTGGAGTTTCAGCGGTAAGTCTCGAAGCTGGACGGAGAGGTGGAGGTGGAACCGTTTGGTTTTTCTTCGTCCGAATTCCACAGCTGACTGTGAAACTGCGGACGGAGAAAGTGAATGAATCGTGTTTCTGTCCTTCGTCAGCAGCTTCCAATGAATTCCATTTCATTGACCAACAAGGGTCAGTGTTTCCAGTGTTAAAGCCCCTTAAAACTTGGTTTCAAATCCTAGGAATATTTCTGTTTATAGACAGGTCATGTAGGAAGTATGCAACAGTTAAAATACACAAAACCAGTGGCTCCCAACCGGTGGGCCTCGACCCACTGGACAGCTGGGAAGGTATTGCAAGTGGGCCAACAAATGATCAGAGTCGGAATCAGGTTTATTGCCAAGTACATTTTCATATATGAGGAATTTTCTTTGGTGTTTTTGGTGCTTAACTACAAACACAGCAAGAAGAAAAAATATAAAGAAATCAAAGCAAGCAAGAACTGCAGAGAAACAGAGAAAAAAATTACAATAAAATATTTACAATAAGAATGTGGAAAAAATTACTATAAAAACACAAATATAATACAAACAGCCGAACCTGTACTAACTTGTTCTAACTTGCAGACGTTAATTGAGAAAAAAAAAAAGGTTGTCAGGGGTTTTAATGTGTTCAACAAACTGCTGAAAAAGATGATTGAAGGAAAAAAAAAAAACACCATGTATTCTCACTTACGTCAACACCAATAAAATCCTTTCCACTGAAAAGATTCTGTTGGGTGACACTGCATTACTTTTGTTGCTCTGACTCGGCACACTGACATTTGATTCTGCTCTCTGAGTCATGGTCTGCATTATATGAAGATGCCAATATACAAGCTTCATCCCATTCATTTTTATACCTACTTACCCTCTCTGCAGGGATGTGGGTTGGCTGGAGCCCATTTCACAGGTTGCTAGTTTCCATTAAAACAAGATTCCCCCATTTGAATGTGGAAAAATATAAACTATTGGGTCTGTAGTGATGTTTGATCCTTGTTGTTCCACTCTTATGTGACTACTCCTCAAACAAGGCTATTGCTGTTCGTTTTGCTAAAGCGACATGGAGAAAACACACCCCGCCGTCTGAGAAGTACAGTAATGTCTGGAAACTTAATGGACACCACAGATGAGAAATTTGTGTATAAAAGTGAAGCTGTTATTGTAGTTGGTAAAATTGAACTGCCTGACAGTGAAGCCTGGTTCATACTATGTCTATGTCGTAGCCAACGCTGGTGTGAGCATTTCTACTTGCTAGATGGAGCTGGGGTTTCTGTACCGCTGTGTGTTTACTTCAAACAAGTGAATGGGACTTGGACCTTATGAATGTTGAACCACAGTTACTTTTTACTGACAGAAAAGAGAGAAGACGTCGGAAGAGACGGTGTGTATCAACACTGAACTGATTGAGGCAGAAGGAGTGTGAGTTTTCTGTGTGTGTCCGGCTGCTGAGATCCGACACATGCTACCAAGCAAACCGATCACAGATGTTGTGGTCAACGCCGCCGTGACGTGTAGTTACATTTCTGTGGAGGTGCATGGGGTATGCAGCTACGCCGTAGCTACGCCGATTCAATGCTGAACTCCAGGAACACCTTGCCTGCGTTGCATGTGCATGGTGGCTGCGTTGCTGAACGCTGTTGCTGCTATTTCCAGCTCTATCTGTCTACATAGAGTTTGCCTTGGATCATGGCCACCAGGAGGCCACTCAATGTTGGATTTCTACTTGTTATAAATTAATTTCTGATTTATTTTTGACAAGAAACATCACGAAACTGCCACTGTCTTTGCGTGTGCGTGGTGGCTGCGTCGCTGAACGCCGTTACTGCTATTTCCAGCTGTATCTTTCTACATAGAGTTTGCCTTGGATCATGGCCACCAGCAGGCCACTCAATATTGGATTTCTTTTCATTATAAATTAATTTTGGATTTATTTTTGACAGAAAACATCACTAAACTGCCACTGTCTCCGCATGCAGCTGCTAAAATGATTAATAAAATAAAATATTTATATTTTTTTCATGTCTGTGTCATATTTAGATTCAGCCCAGACATTTAAACTATAGTGAAAGGTATCAATTTTGTGTAATGTTGCTGGTATGATGTTAATATGACTATCAATAGGTCTTTTCTGTCTAATTTACTGGGAACAGCTCGTCACGCAGCCAGTATGTTTGCTCTAACCCGTTAACACACATGCCGAAATGAAAACCAAGACGTTCTGTGCGCCACGCTGCCGTGTGTTTTCCCGGCCTTACGCTGCTTGTCACTTACAGTAGGTGTTAAATTGATTAAAACAAACATGTTAGTTTGAATTCTTTTGAATCTTTAAAAAGTGACACAAAGTAGAGCAAGTTCAGGAAAGCTTGTGTAGCCTTCTAACAATGAATACTCTGGTTTTACACCTTTTAACGTGGGATATGACAGTTAATGTTAACTCAATTTAATCAACTTGAACTTGTGTCAACAGTGTCATTATCAGATTATGAAATCTTCTTACGGCCCAGAGGTTTATGATCCTATCGCACCCACCCCATCATTACTCCAGATGTTTTATATGGAGTTTATGCCCCTCCCTGAATGATAACATGCTGTTGCTCATGTACAGTAGCGACATACTGTGTGTTCAGCCAACAGCTGAGAGGTTTCACACAACTTGAATTTATTCAAGTCTTGTCGTTCCACATTCGCACTGTAGAGATGATAAAATCAGGAAAATCATGTGCGCAATCATAAACACTGACCGGGAAACACAGATCAAGATTTCATTAGTCGCTTTAAACCTGATATTATCATTTAAAAGAGAGAACGAGGATTTGAAAGTGCCACTTATTCCACAAAGCGACGTAAAGGTGTTAAAATATTCAGTTTTTCTTCCAGAGAGACATTACTGTTAATTCTCCAGCAGCCACTTCACTCAGACTGCGGTAAATCAGTTCATTTTAACTAACTGCTGCCAGAACATGCAGTGTCCGGTTACACTCTGCGTTGTCTCTTCCATAGATGAGTTGATGACTCTCTCTGATTGACTATGAACAGGTGGCCTGTTCATAGTCAAATGTTGGAGACTTGTGTCTGATACTCAAAAC